CCAGGGCAACCACGGTCCGCCCCACCCACCACACCCACACACATGCCGCACACCACAGGCGGGCACAGGCAGCGGCACACGCACTTGAGGTCCTCCTGGCTCAGCGGCTTGCCGCTGGTGGTGGTGGCCGTGACGGTGACCACCATGACGGTGGCGGGCGGCAGCAGGCGGTCCAGGTCCACCAGCGTCACATCCATCTCGTTGCCTATGGCCTGCGGGCGGCGGGCAGGCCGTAGTGGTGGCATCCGGGCAGGGCGAGAAGGCGGGTGGGTGCCATGCGCGGGGAAACCAGCCCCTACCATCACCCGCATCACGCCGTTCATGCGTCACCCCAACCCCGGCGCCGACCGACTCGACTCCTTGCGCCGCGGCCCCCCGCACACCCTGCCCTGCGCCACACCCTGGCCCCCGCCCCCACCTGCACCACACGTGCATAGTCCAGCGGGTTGTGCACCAGGCTCTCCAGCTCCGGGAACTTGGTCTTGTAGCGGTCGCGCAGGAAGTTGTACACCACCACAATCTCGTTGTCAATGTCCACAGCCAGCTGGTTGCAGTCCACCAGCAGCCTGCGGAGGCAGCCAGGAGAGGGAGAGGGAGAGGGAGGTGAGCCCAGCAATTTAGAGCAGCAGCAAGCTCAGGCGCCCCCAACATCCCGCACATGCGCACACACGTCCAGTTGGCCCCAGGCCTCACTTGTAGGTGGGGTCCTCCTCGGAGGGGCCAGCCCACACGACGGGGCCGCCCCTGGCCGCGTCGTCGGCCTCCGACTGCCGCACCGCCTCCATGATGCTCCTGTACCGCTCGCTGTGCGTCAGCTGCGCCACCGCCTCCAGGTCGTCGTAGTTGAGGTTGTCGATGTCGTCGCCCAGCATCTGCGCAGCGCGGGGTGGCAGGGGTGGTGCCGCACAGAGTGAGTGTGTGTGTGTGTGTTTTCACCCGTCACCGGTGAGTGAGGAACGGGGGGATTGAGCGCATGGCAGCAGCTGGTCCCAGCCTTCCTGTGCTGCTGACACCAGGCTGCCAGTCGAGCCGTGCAGTAGGGTAAGGTATGGCCAGGAAGCCGCTGCAACACGATTGTCGGCGAGAATTAGGCAGCGCCGGCATTCGCAGCCCAGCCTCACCTCCTGGTCCTCATCCTCCTCCTCCTGCTGCTGCTGCTGAGGCTCCTCATCCTCAACATCGCTCAGATCCTCCAGATCCGCTAGAAACGACTCCGCCAGCGTCGCCATCCTGCTGCGCAGGGCAGTGCAGCGGTGCGGCGGTGGGGGACGGTGCGTCAGCAGCAGCGCGGTGTCCTGCCCCGGTGTTCTTTGCCGCTGTGCGACACCAAGGCGTCTGCCAGAAGCGGGCGGGCAGGCAGGCAGGAGGCCACAGCCAAAGTCGCGGAGACGCCAGAGGGCGGAGGCACGGCCTGCGGCGCCGCACAAGAGAGGCAGAGGCGACACCTAGCTCACCTGATGGACGTGCCCCTCGCCCAGTCCACTGGCAGCACCAGTCCACAGCCGTGATCGAGAGGGAGGTCGCGCGGCCTGGAAAACCCTGTGAAAGCTGCAACAATGTATTGATGACACAAAGAGCTAGCACGACCTGAGCACTGCACACAGATGCCACTCTGGCTTGAAGAGGCAAGAAGGGCCGTGGCGACACATGCATGGCATTGCTGATTGCACTGGCTCGTGATTCACCACTCCCAGGCTTGTCGCAAAGGGCCCCTGCAGCGGTCGGCGATGGCGCGGGGCCCAGGCGGCACAGCAGGCAGCGGGGTGGCCTCCCCCGAAACGGCCAGTAGTTCAGGAGACCAGTGCCTGCGCACCCACGATCTCCCTGTGCCGCACGCCAGCCCCAGCGGCGACGTCGGCAGCAGCGACGTCGGCGGCAGCGGACACCTTCGCCTGCCTGCAGCGCGAACCAGCCCAGCCCCAGTGCCGCCGCATGCCAGCCCAAACGGGGTCGCCAGCCATTCTGATGGGCAGGAAAGCTGGGATGCCAGCGGCCCATTCAGGGCAGCACCGCTGGGCTACGTGCTCCACAGCACCCCCTCCCAAACCCCTCTGGCATCCCCCCGCCACTCTGGGCTGACATCGGCGGCGGAGGAGAGCGGCACGGCCGACCTCGAGGCCCCCCTGCTGCACCGCGCCGGCGGCAGCGGCAACAAGCAGCAGCGGGCGCCGTTTGCCACGGGCGGCGCCGTCAAGGCGGTGGTGTTTGGGCTGATCAACACGGCCGCGGGGGTCCCCGCCCTCATCGCCTTTTGCGCCGTGGTGTTCAAGGATCCGCTGTACGACCCCTGGGTGGAGCCGCTCTGCAAGTTCTTCTTCCTGGCCAGCGCCATCCACCAGGCCGTCGTGTGCCTGCGATCCGATGTGCCCTATGCAGTGGGGCAAGTGCAAGGTGAGCGTGGGTGCAGGCGCTGCCCCACCCGCCCGCCCAAGCTTGCCCTGCCTCAACCGACATGCTGCTTGCCTCCTGTGCACCACCCCCATGTCACCCTGCACAGACGTCGGCCTCCTCTTCTTGTCGGCGATGTGCTCCTCGATCGCCGCCGCATGCACGCACGCGGGGCTGGACGCCGCCGCGGCCCTGGGCACCTCACTCGTGACCATGGCTGTCAGCACCTTTCTGGTCGGCCTTGGCCTGATTGCTGTAGGCAAGTCCCCGCCCCAGCTCTCTCCAGCTGCTGCCCTTGATTCCAGCTGCCACACATAAGGCCTGCAGGCCACCTCAGCGGCGCATGCTCGCTTGTGTCCCCCCACCCAGCCTTGCGTGGTCCCGCCCGGCGCTCCCACCTCTCTGTGCAGCCAAGGCTGAGCTGGCATCGGCGGTGCAGTACCTGCCGCTGCCCGCTGTCGGCGGCTACTTGTCATATGTGGGTGAGTGAGCGGGGTGGGCGGGTGTGGAGCCGGCTACAGTCGCTGATGCAGCCACCCCCGCTGCGCACGGTTGCACGCCTGCCGGGCTCACCTGTTGTCGCCTGTGCGCTTGCCTGCAGGCTACTTTTGCCTCGCCTCGGGCCTGGGCCTGGGCTGCGGCATCCAGCTGGGGCCCCTGCGCAGCTGGGCGCAGCTGTGGGATGCGCAGGTGGCGCTGCGCGTGCTGCCCACGCTGGGTTCCTGCCTGGCCATGATGGCCACCATGAGCCGCTTCAAGCACCCCCTGGCCCTGCCCTCTGTACTGCTGGCCATCGTGGGCCTCTTCCATCTGGTGCTGCTGGCGGCGGGCGTGTCGCTGGAGGAGGCGCAGCAGGCGGGCTGGGTGCTCAAGCCCGCGGCGTCCATGGGCAGGTGGTGGGAGCTGTGGCGCATGTTTGACGTCGGCCCCGGCCTCTCCTTCCAACACATCCACTGGTCCGCCGCGGCGGAGCAGGTTGGCAAGGTGGGCGCCGCCGGCGGGGCGCGCAGCAGCAGCGTGCCACGGGCCTGGGCGGACGCTCCTGTCACTTGCACCCGACGGCGCTGCTGCAGTTTGGCCAGCGCAGTGGGCTTGCGCTGTCCCCTCCCTCCCCCGCCCACCCCTGCTTCCTCTTCCCACCCTCCTCCCCGCCCCGCAGCTGCTGGGCCTGTTCCTGCTGGTGTGCTTTGGCTCCTCCATGGATATTGCCGCCATCCAGCAGGACACGCCCTTCAGGCTGGACTTCAACAAGGAGCTGACCACCATCGGTGGGTGCCGCCCGCTTCGCAGGGTGGCCCGCGGGCACTGGGGGAGGGCCAGCGGCAGCTTTGTAGGGTGGCCCGGTTTCAAGCTCCACGCAGCTTGCTCGCAGACTGCACTGCCCAGCCAGCCAGCCTGCATCGCCTCTCCGAGGCGTCGCCCTCTGCCTCACGCCAGGCAGCGACAGCTGCAACCGGGACCGCCTGCGGTGGCGCCCCACCCGCCCACCCTCCCTCCCATGCAGGCATCTCCAACATGGTGACGGGTGCGGTGGGGGCGGGCATCACCGGCTCCTTCATCTTCTCCCAGACCATCTTCTCGGGGAGGGCGGGCGTGCAGAGCAGGCTGAACGGAGCAGGTGCGCCCTGCCTGGGCCTGAGGCAGGTGATGATGGAGAGCCGCATGCCGGGGCCCTGCTGACCTGGCCACGCTGCCCCCCCCCCCCCCTGCCCTCCCTTTCCATGCAGTGATTGCCCTGTGCGAGTTCACCATGTTTGCCATCCCGTTCTCGGTGGTGCAGTACCTGCCCTGCTTCTTCTTCGGCAGCCTGCTGGTGTGGTTTGGGGTGGAGATCATGCTGGACTGGATGCTGCGGTCGTACCGCAAGCTGAGCCACACGGGTGCGGGCAAGGCACCGTCGCCGCCGCTGCCCGACGTGCGGTGGCGGCTGCAGCTGGGTCTTGGTCGCTCCTTGGCAGCCCAGGCAGCCTGCCCACCCGGCGTCCCACCAACTCATTGGCTCAACCCTACCCCACCCCACCCGCAGAGTATGCGCTGCTGTGGGCCACATTTGCCGCCATCATGCAGTGGGGCCTTGAGGCGGGCATCGCGGCGGGTGAGCGCCGCTGGCTGCCGCCTGTGCTGCGCTCCCCGCCATGCCCACCCCACCAGCACGGCTGGCCCCTCCTGTCCCAGGCATTGCTCCTGTTGTGGTCACCTGTTAAATTGTGGTGTGCTGCAGGGTGCATCTGCTCCATGTGTTATTTTGTGTACGCATACGCCAAGGCAAGGCATGCTGCTGCTGCCGCCGCCACCATGCCCGGCATGCCAGCCCCTCCTGCTGTGCTGGGCCCTGCTGTGTTGCGTGCCGTGGGCCCCCACCCACCTGCCGGGGAGGCGTCCCCGGCAGCACCAGCCGTGCCCACGCCCGCCCCGCACCCGCCTTCTGAAATGCCGCCCGCGCCTGTCCCCCACCCCACCCCCCCGCGCCCCGCCTCCTGCAGTCGCAGCTGTCCAGCTTCAGCCTGGTGCAGGGGCAGAGCGGCATCGTGCGGTCGGCGGACCAGGAGGCTGCGCTGGAGCTGCTGCGCCCCGCCCACCTGGCCACCGCCCAGCTGCGCGGCTTCCTCTTCTTCGGCATAGCCAACGCCATCAGCACGCGCCTGCACCGCGCCGCCATGCAGCTGGAGGAGGCTGGGAGGGAGGGAGAGGGCGGCGGCGGCCTGGCGCGCGCCGCCAGCGCCGCGCCGCCCAGCATCGCGGCCAGCCCATGGCGGCCGCGCGGCGCGCACGCGCAGCAGCAGCAGCGGCCCGCCGACCGGCTGTACGGCGACAGCAGCAAGCACGGCGGGGCGGTGCGCGCCTCTCTGGCCGCCCCCAAGTTCTTCGTCCTCGACTTCTCTCGGGTCAAGGGGCTGGATGCCACGGCGGCGCGCACGCTGGGCACGCTGTACCGCGACCTCGCCCAGCTGGACATCACCCCCGTTGTCACCGGCGCCAACCACGGCGCCATCCGCCAGCTGCTGGCCGCGCACGGCGTGCCGCTGCCGCCGGCGCCCACCCCCACCGCCCACGACGCCTCCCCCTTCCTGCTGCGCTCGGCGGCGGAGCTGCCGCCGGTGCTGCACTGCCACGAATTTGGCGCCTATGAGGAGGGCATCCGGTTTGCGGAGCAGCAACTGCTGGCGGTGGCGGTGCGCTTCCACCTGTGCCGCCCGCCCAGCGAGCCCGTGACCCTGGAGCAGCTGCTGCGCACGCACGCCAGGTGGGCGGGGGCAGCGGCGGCGGTGGTGGCACGCCTGCGGCAGCCACTGCTTCCTGCCAAACAGGCAGCTGCCTGCCGCAGCCGCGCCTGGCAGTGCTGACAGCTGGCGCGCCGCACCCGTTGCACCCCCCCCTGCAGCCAAGCTGGGCTGCCGTTTGCTGCCAAGGAGGACAGCGGCGCCGCGGCGGCCGCCATCCTGCGCTACTGCACCACCCTGCGCTTCCACCCCGGCGACAGGCTGTGGGAGGAGGGGCAGCCCGCCGACGCGTTTTACATCATCGAACAGGGCCGGGTCACGGTGGAGCAGCAGGTGGCGGCGGCGGGGTCGGGCGGTGCGGCGGCACCCGGCAGCACCGCCAGAGTGGGCTCTGATGCCGGCGGAGCGGCGGCGGCGCCGCCGGGGCGCCAGCGGCGGCCGTCGGTGCGGGTGTTTGAGTTTGGGCCTGGCTGCATTGCGGGTGTGGTGGACGTCTGGTTGCACCGCCCCCGCTCCTCCGCAGCCGTCGTCAGCAGCGCGGGCGGCGGCGGCGGCGCCGGCGCCTGCCGCGTGCTGCAGCTCAGCCGAGACGCGCTGGGGCTGATGGTGACAGAGGCGCCCTCCGCGCTGCACGTCCTGCAGGTGTGTGCGGGTCTGTGCGAGTGTGGAAAGAAAAAGAGAAAAGAAAAAAGAAAAAAAAAAAGATACAGCTGAGGTCAGGCCACCGCAGCTGCCCTGTTGCGCCAGCTGCCGACTGCATGGTTGTGGTGCGGCGTGCGGTGCAGGCGGTGGTGCTGCGGGCCAAGTGCCTAGACCTGGGCATGGCGGCTGAGCTGGCGGCAGCCCGGGTGTGACGTGATGTACGGCAGGGGCCAGTCACTGCCCTGAGGTGCTGCCCCTGCGGCAGCGAGCTGTGGCGTGACTGCGACAGGCCGTGCCCGCCATTCATTCTTTTGCTGCCCCTCTTGACACTCCTGCGCTGCCTTTGTGTCGGCTTGCTTCTGTGCTTTTGTGCGGTGGCTTTCATACTCGACAGTTGTGCTGTCCACTTTTGGTTGCGGGAGTCAGAAGCATGTCAGCAGGTTTGAACTCATGTTGTGATAGCAAGGAAGGGGAGTCGGACGAATGGCGACAGATCATTGGCATGCCAATTGCAGGCAAGGGATGAGTGCAGACACCACAGGAAAACACATTTGGGAGGAAGGGTTTGAACAAGAGAGGGAAGGGGCAGTGTCTGTGCAGGCCCAGGGTGCTCAACAAACAGATGTGCACGTCAATGACGAGCATAAGGACAAGGGAGGGATTCAACGCCCCCAGCGCATGCATGCGTCGGTGCGGGCGGTGTGCAGAGCATGCATGCGGCTGTCGACCCACGGGGTGTTCATTCAAAACGTAGGAGAGGCAAGCAAAAGGGAGGGTTGTAGGGTGCTCACTTCTTCAGCGGCACTGGACCAGTCTGCTGCGGCCCATTCCCCGCCAGGTTTGGATCCTGCGGCTGGCCACTCTGTCCCTGCGGCTGGCCATTCTGGCCCCCCGCCTGGCCTGCCCCTGGCTGGGGCTGGCCACCCTGGGTGGCGTTCAAAGACCGCACCTCGCTCCCCGGCCGCTCCACCGGCGGCGGCGGCGGTGGCGGCGGCGGTGGTGGTGGCGACTTCCTGGGCGGCGGCGGCCGTGGCGGCTTGGGTGAGGGCGGGGGCGGGCGGGGCGGAGGGGGTTGTGGTGGCGGCGAGGGGCTGGGCAAGGGCGGCGACAGCGCTGTCTCCTCCTCCCCCACCCCTCCCACAGTGTTCTGCGCCTGGGCCAGCCCCTGCGCTGCCATGGCATCCAGGTAGGCCTTGAGGCGGGGCAGGTCTGGTGGGGATGGCGGCCAGGGCGCGCCCACAGCCGTGGTCCTCAGCGCCAGCTGGCGGGCAGCCTCGTCCCGCGCCGCCTCCAGCGCCCTCAGCCGTGCTAGCTCCTGGGGTGAGATGGGCGGCAGCGGTGGCGAGGGCGGGGAGGGCGGCGCGGGGGGGCTGGGCGGCGGGCTGGGAGGCGGCGAGGGAGCCGGGGGCGGGGAGGGAGGCGGAGATGGCTTGGGCGGCTTGGGGCGCCGCGGCGAGGGCCTGGGAGGCTTCGGGGGCTTGGGGGGGCGG